AACCAGAGTAAGCCCAAGAAGTCACAAATGAAATCTGCAATCATTTGTCATCTTTGGAGTTCATCTGTCCTTGAAACAAATATGTTTGCTTTTAATCAGACATGGAACAGTGTGAATTTCTTAAGAGTCATGGGGTGATTCTGGTGGGAAGGGACATCGGGAGGTTCCTAGTTCTCACTCTGAGCAGAGCCAGCTCCAAAGTCAGCCAAGGCTTCTCAGGGCTTTATCCAGGCTGAGCTTCACAAGCTCCAAGGGTTTGAGGTTTGTGGAGGCTGCACAACCTCTCTGGGCAACCCACTCCAGTGCTGGACTGTCCTCATGGTGAAAAAGTTTCTTCTTCTTGCTGGTCTGACTCTTGCTTAAACTCATGCCACCATCCAGTTTTGCAGCAATACGAGCTGGGTTTTACTTTAGAACATGGTCTCCACCACTAGTAGGAAGTTTCCCTCTTTAAACCTAAACCAGAATTCCCCTCATTTCACCCCGAGGATGACAGCTCCAGCCTAAACGTCACTTGGAACCTGCTAGTTACAGGATAAGGCACCTGCCTTCTCCCCAGCCACCCAAGGGTCTCCTTGCCAAGGACAGTTTTCTGCAGCAGCACCAGCTTTTGGCTCTGCCCCACTCAGCAGAATAGTTTCTGGGATGGATGTGGGTTACATCAGAGAAGTGACCTGGTTTAAAGACAACCACGGTGGTGGCAGAGGGGGAGGAGACAGGGAGATTTATGTTCAGGATTCCTGCCAAGCAAAACAGATCCAGGGATGGATGGCACAGCTTGATGAAAGAGTTTGAGACTTAGGTGGTTCAAGAATGCCCTTCCCTAATCACATCCATCTGCAAGAGCAGAGAAAATCTTGTGCAGAGAGCAGAACTAGGAGCTGGAATCAAACCCAGGGGCGTTGCCAGGTGACTTCTCTGCACAGCCCTTCCCTGCTGCGTGTGGTGAGAACCTCTGGAGGACAGAAGCACAGGGCTTGCTGGTTTATCTCCCCATCTCTCATTTAACAGGGAGGGTCCCCTTTGGAAAGTGATTCTACAGAACTGAAAGGCTTGTACTCTTACTCTGACCATCCCTTTTCACTTATCTAGGTGTAGCTTGTGACTTAACTTTCCTGTGGCTGATGATCTGCTGCACGGGGGATACAAAGTCCCTATTTTTCCACCCTCAGTGTCATCAGATGAGTCAGGCTGAGCCACCAGCAGATCTCTGAAGCAGAGGTACTGGATTTCAGCAGCACACGCCTTGGTGCACACAGCTTCTATCCTTGGGCATCCCACACTCCTGACATTCTGCAGGCAAGAGCAACCAAAAAAAAGATACAATTTTACCCTGCTGTTATCAGCTCAAGGAGTGTGTGCACACACAACCATTTTCACATCGAGCTAACTCAAATTGTGGGGAGCTCACCATTCCAACCTCACGGGTACCTCTGTCCACCCACAGAGCACACCCAGACCCAAGGCCACCAGAGATGTTTTCTCCAGACCTCTCAGGAGCAAGCACACTACACCGTGTAACGAGCCGAGTAACTCAGGAGCTGAAACCTGCCTGTGTTGGTTTGCCAGATGACAACTACTAATTATAATGTGCCTGTGGGATAAGGGCTGTTGGAAGTGTATGGAATTGCATTCTAATATTTGGAATTTTGTGCTTAGCCACAATTGTGAACATGTATGAAAAGTTTTGTCCTCCTTACTTTGATGCCTCAGGGCTCTTAAGACACAGAGGCTAAGGACAACCCACCCATCCACATCACATCCCTTGGACAGGGTGGGGTCTGTGTTACAGGGGCTGGGCAGGGAATTGATCCCTGGAGAGAGTTGAGGGATCTGCCTTCACAGCAGAAGCCCACAGCTATCCTGTCCTACTGCATGGACTCAGCACTCTGCAAGGCCCCCAGAACAGCCTTTCAAAACTACTCCCTTCAGAATTATGTAGCTAACTTGTCAGATCTCCCCCCAAAAAAAACTCAGTTAAAGCTTTTTGGGGCTGCAGGGCAGCCAGCTATTAACACAATTGGATCAGCAAACCCACATCTTCATCTCCACCCATGGAAGAGTTGTGAGAGATGATTCATTTGAGGAGCCCTGAGGAGCAGCCCATCCCACAGGTGACTGCTGTGAGATCAAGCACTGGCCACGTGTTGTTCTAGGACAGGTGTAAGGATGACATTGGGGGCACTCTCGAGGAAGAGCTTGTTTTCTAAGCCTTAAAGTGGATAAATATTATTGTTTCCACTCCACAGCTCGCTGCTGCTGTTTTTGAACTCCTGAGAGAGCCAAGGTGTGGACCAAGGGAGCAGCACTGGCCAGCTCAGCGTGAATCACTCTGTAAGCCACTCTACAGGGAGGATGTCAACGCAGTGATAAGCGATGCCCAAATTTTGTAGTGCACACCACTGCCAAGCCCTGAAGCTTCTCAAACACTATCATCCACCTCAGCCCATCAAACTCCTGCTAAGTGTATCAAAACATTGCTCTATGGGTCACTTACCACATCCACATGTCAGTGTAGCACAGGAACTGTTCAGAGCCAGGAAAAAATCCACACCACACTCTTCACAAGTAAAAAATAAGTCTCAGGCCTCTTCTAGAACAAGCAAAATTGGCTGTTTTTTTTTTTCCTCTAAATTAACCAGGTGGTTTGTGAACAGGCAACACCCAAGGCTGATGTGCTACAACATCCCAATGGTCGCATCCACCTTTAATGTGTCTTGTGTGCAAGCTGCAAAACTCACAAAAGGAAGAGGAAAAACACTCACAGCAGTCAAGTCATTCTGATTTTATATTCAGTCTTTGCAAAGCAAGGATGTCCTATTTCATACTGTTCATTCAAGGCAAAAGTCTACACAAGCATGTCAAAAGCAGAAATTGAGAAGCAGTGAACACGACAGTCTTGAAAATACGTTTAATATCTAATCTTATACAAAAGTGACAGCATTTTCAAAAAAATATCAAATCCTGTATTTATAGCTTCTCACTATCATACAGCAATATTTGTTTCCTCTAAAGAAAATACAGCAGCAGGTGATAATCTATACTTGAAAGATGTGATTGCTTATATTCCATATTGTAAACAAATGCAGGATGTCAACCTCGAAGCACAAGTCAAAACGAACTCCTCAGCGACTGAACTCAAATGATGCATAGAAATGTACAAACTCCATTGCAAAAGCTTCAGGCCAGAAGTTGCTCACACTTGACATAACATGTGATAAAGTTACTACACAGTATAGAGTGACAACTTGCTTTTTTACACAATAGATTAACAGGTATACCCTTTTCACTGCTAGGCAAAGAACTTGGCTCACAAAAACGAAGGGGTTATGAAACAGTTTTCATGACCTCAAGAGATACAAATATACATTGAAAAACATCCCATATATACTGAATTTTTAGCCTAAATGTTCCAGTAATAAATCCTGCCTATTTCAGGAAGAACCTAGAAGTCTAGTTACTTTCACAAATCCCCTTTCCAAACATCATTCCTTGCTACCTTTGCTTTGTCCTCTCCTCCCTCTTCCCATTCCCTGCAAAGACATATGGCCAGTGCAATTCCAAACTGGAAGGGTGCTGCTGCTGCTGCTGTGGGACCCATTCACCTGGAGTGTGTTTTCATAATGTTGATTTATAATCTAAGGCTGCAGGTATCAAAAAAAGCACTTGAGCAAATGTTGTTAATGTTCTCCGGTGTTAATTGTTAATTAGTCTTGCCAAGTCTGTTTAAGGGGCAACTGGGGTTTGTTGAAGGTTAGGGAAGACTTGCACTTTGGATTCCTATTTCTAGCGTTATGGGTGCTGGGTTCTAAGATGAAATGTTAAAGTATTTTTGCTCTGCTAAACATTACCTTCCCCAAACCAAAAGACCCACATCCCTTTGCTATTAGCTCTCATGATACTAGAGTAAAACTGGCACAGCTAAGCCAACCAGTTGCTTCTGTAAGAATATTACAAGACTTTGCCATAAAGGCTGAGACAAGTAACAAGTATTGCCCCCAGGTCACCCCCTTGGTTTTGGGGTCCATTACCTGCATGCAGGACACCATGATAAGGGATTTCACAGTTCTGTGACACAAAGACTCCTTAACGACCCAACACACTAAGCAAAAGTTGTTCCTAATTCTACCTACAGAGGCTACTCTAGGCTATCCCCAGCTGGGGATGAAGGAAACCACCCGTGGTCCAAATTTAGGCTGTGAAGTAGCACGAGGAGTGCCAGAGCTCCTCACTGACACGTGGCTGTGTCTCGGCATTGCAGCGAACCCCTTGTGTGCTCTCGGCACACATATGGCAAGACAGGAAAGCTTAACTGCAGTGCCCCCTCAGAGGGGCAGCTACACAGCAGTGCACAGGCTTCTAGGCATTCAGTCCCTCCCAAAGGACACTGACTCAGTGAGGTATGCAGACACCTGGCTGAGAACAGGACTTCTCCCCATCACAGCACCCAGCAGAGCCCCCTGAGAGCTCCTTCTCAACCGTGGCAACACATCTTTGTCACTGGTAGAGCCAAACTGCCAGGAAGGGAATTGTCAGGTTGTCTTTTTTTTTTTTTTATCTTTTAAGCTCAAGTTTCATTTCTAGGGACTCTGGAAAAAAAAAAAAGTCTGCTGAGTTTTTCCCCCAACCCAGCAGCCAAGTGAAATTTGAAATGACTAGAACCCAGGTCAGAAATAGGGAAGTACCTTACCTACGTGGGAATCCGTTTCTCTTTACACAGACCAAACTTCCAACCACCACAGAATGAGAACTGGCAAAATGACGTCCTCATTTGCATGCACACAACTCACATTTGTTGATTCGGAGTTAACTGCACGTCCAGGTTATCTCACTTGCACTCCAGGGCCCATTTGTGAACACCAACTTGCTGACAAGCCAGGCCGAGTGTTTCAAACGCGAATCTTCTCCTCCACAGTCCCAGACTGAGCAGTTGTTTTGAGTATATACAAAATGCTGAGAAAACCTTCAAAAGTTCACATGCTCTGTCTCTTTAGTTTGGGTTACTGTAGCACGGTCAAAAAAATCAGATTTCTTGACAAAAAAACCCACCTTGGAACACTTTTTATTGGCATTTTAGAATAACCTGAAAATAGACAAAATACGACTATCCATTCATTCAGTGACCAGCACAAGTCTGGCAATGAGACTTAAAGCATTCATGGAAATTTAAGAATAAACATTTTTTTTAAGTCCTTGGGCCTGATTCTTTACAATCCTTACTCAGCAACTCCTGTTTCTCCAAGGAATACTTGCCAACATAAGAACCACAGGTGTTAAAGTTTTATTTCTGCTCTTCATCACTCATTTTATTAAACCAAACAACAGTGCCAGCATATGAGCAAGGTAAATTTATGCAGACTGCTCCTTCATACCTCAAATGTACATACAAGAGGCAAGTATTCTTCATCTTCCCAAACATTACTGAAACAAAAACTGTAAAAATCTCTGTAAGTAGTGGATGAAGGTGGAAAGCTACAGTATTTTGTTGCCCAGAATGTGTTCAACGGTAAGGCTGCAAGAGACAATAATTCACAGTCAGTACAGGCCTTTCACAAACCAGTTCACTCACAGCTACAAAAATTCTCAACTAAAAGCAAATTCACCCTTGTAATTTGTTGTTCCCTCCCTCCATGCCCTGGAAGCAACCTCTCTAGATTACAGAGGCTAGAGGATTTCCTCTTTCAGAGATGATTAGAAGGCTTTCCCCTCATTTTTTTAATTTACTTTTTAGAGAAGTCTTTCCAAGTAGTGGAAGACCACTGTAATGTATGCTTAGACACACAATAACTTGATATAATTTCACTGTCCTAGTGTATTTAATTAAGCATTTAAGCAGTTGGTTATTCCCTCACTGACTACAGGAATGAGACAGATGTGTTGAAATTCCTCCCTTGCCCTGCTGGGCCTTAATGCTGCTCAATCTCCACGCCTAAAAGTGTAACCTTTCAGAGGAATTCAAGACCAAAATCCAAATACTCACATGGGGACCACCAGGCATTGATGGAGCACCAGCAGGACCAGATGGCACTTGAAAAGGATTGGGGGGCGTAGGATATAGTCCTGGAGCTGGATATGATCCTGTGGGTGGAGGGAACGGACCTGGCGGTGAAGGTCCCCACGTTCCGGGCGGAACCGTGCCCCACGGCACCGTCGGCGCAGCCCCTGGAGTCTGGGTAGGAGCAGAATATGGCCCCGGGGGTGGATATGGCATGCTAGGTGCAGGATACTGCCCTCCCATCGTCGGTCCCCACGCTCCAGAGGGCATGGATCCCCATGGCCCGACAGGAGCAGGAGGCGCAGCTGGCTCTGTCGGACCGCCATAAGGTCTTGGAAGCTCTGGAAAGGGCATGTTTGGCGGAGGGTACTGCCCAGGTGGGACAGGACCTGGCACGGCTGGGGGCGGGTACGGCCCGCCCGGAGGAGGGCAGGAGGGTCCGGTAGGAGGAGGAGGAAATGGAGCAGGCGGTCCGGGGGGCATGGAAGGATACATGGCTGTGGGAGGGGGTCCAAAGGGCACGCTGGAGGCCGAGGTGCTGGGGGGCAGCCCGGCCGGCGCCGCGGGCGGAGCGCTCGGGTTGTTCCACGGATTCGAAGCCGGCCAAGCCTGCGGCGG